TTTATTCTCAGCCGGGCATGGTGGCGCACACCTTTAATCCAAGCACTGGGGAGGCAGAGGCAGGCAGATCTCTGTGAGTTCAAGGCCAGCCTGGTCTGCGAAGTGAGTTCCAGGCCAGCTGGGGCTAAGAGAGGCCCTGTCTCAAAAAGACCAAAAAGAAAAAGAAAAAAAAGAAAGAATTTCTTTTCAATAGAGGAAGATGTCCACGAAGGTGGTAATCCTGTGGCCCTCAAAGTCTTATCTTGGCCCTGTCACTGTCTTTGCTTCCACCTCTTTTCCATAGTTAACTGTGAGCTCCTAGGAGAGGGGTGGACACCCCTGTGTTCATTTGTTTTTGTGGTGCTGAGGATCAGAACCTGGGTCTTCCAGAATCCTATGTAAGTGGTCTGTCTCTGAGCTATGCCTTGAGCCTTATGCTATTTTTAAACCTTAAAAAAGATTATTTTAATTTTATGTGTATGAGTGTTTGCCTGCATGTATGTAAGTATGCTCATGCATGCAAACCCTTGGAGGTCAGAAGAAGACACTATATTCTCTGGAAGCAGAGTTACAGATGGTTATTAGCTGCCATGTGGGTGCTGGTGTTCTTAATCGCTGAGCCATCTCTCCCATCCCTATTTTTAAAACTTTTCTGTATTTTATTTTATTTTACATGTATCAGTGTTTTGCCTACATATATGTAAGTGTACCTGTGTCATGCAATGCCCAAGGAGGTCAGAAGAGGGTGTTGGATCCCCTGGAACTGGAGTTATGGATGGTTGTTATGTGTCATGTGGGTTCTGGGAACTGAACCTGGACCCTCTTGCAAGAGCAGCCATCCTTCCTGCCCCATGTGAGGTTGTGTGTGTCTGTGTGTGCATATTCGTGTGTGTGTGTGTGGTTCATATGATTGTGTGCAGGCCAGAAGACAACCTCGAAGGTGTTCCTCAGGTACCATTCACTTTTTTTTTTTTTAAGACAGGGTCTAGCCCCAGCTGGCCTGGAACTCACATAAGTAGACTGTGTAGACCAGGCTGGCTTGGAACTCACAGAGATCCGCCTGCCTCTGCCTCACGAATGCTGGGACTAAAGGTGTGCTCCATCACACCTGGCACCATTCACTTTTTTTTTTCTTTTTTTCAGTATTTATATGTATGTCATGCTTGCATGTATGTAAGTGCATCCATGTTGTGCAGTGTCCATGAAAGTCAGAAGAGGGCATTGGATCTTCCAGAAGTGGAGTTACAGTTGTTAGCCTCCATGTGGGTGCTGGGATTCAAACCCAGGTCCTCTCCAAGAGTAGCCAGTGCTCTTAACCACTGAGCCATCTCTCCAGTCCCATTTTTCTTTGAGACAGGGTTCCCTTATTCACTGGTCTGGAACTCACCAAGTAGGCTAGGCCAGCCCTGCCAGGGAGCCCCAGGGATCTGCCTGTTTCTGCCTTCTCAGTTCTGTGATTGCAAACAACACTATCATGCCCCATTGGTTTTTCGGCGGGGGGGGGGGGTTCTGGGGCTCAAACTAGGTCCTCATGCTTGCAAAGCAAGGACTTTACACACTGTGCCATCACCTCTGCCTCTATTTTAATCCTTTGCTGACAGCCCAGGACTGTCAATCTGCCTCTCTCATTTTCTTTCCTTACTGGCTTTGTGTTTGAGACAGGATCTCATACAGTGCAAGCTTCCCTTGAACTTGCTATGTAGTCAAGGCTAGCCTTGAACTCCCAATCTTCTATCTCCACCTCCCAAGTGCTGGGATTATAGGCTGAATGACCATGCCTTGGTCTTTTTATTTTTTGAGAAAAGGCTTTTCCAGTTCAAGCCTGGAGACAATCCTCCTGTCTCAGCCTCCTGAGTGCTGAGATTACAGGTGTCCACCATCATTCCTGGCTTCCGGCAATGCTTTCTGACTGGATGGCTAAGGAGAGGAATCAAAGGGTGGTCCTGGACCAGTCTCATGGTCTGCTTCTTCATCTTCGGTAGCCCAGCACCAGCCTCACAGGCTGGCTTTGAGGATCAAGATATGACCAGAAAATGCTTAGAAACTCTGGAGCCTGGAGCCTTTCCTGAGGCTGTGCAGGTGAGGAGGGCCCACAACGGTTAAAAATGATTCCAATGGCTTTGCTACTTTCCTTTTGCTGACAAACAAAATTGCCTTTTATAAAAGTACACAGGCCTTTAATCCCAGCACTCGGGAGGCAGAGGCAGGCGGATGGATCTCTGTGAGTTCGAGGCCAGCCTGGTCTCCATGGTAAATCCAGGACAGCTGGGGCTACAGGGAGACCCTGTCTCAAAAAGACCAA